CAATTTTTGACCCTTTTCCCTCTCTATGCTAGATGGGAAATTAAATATTTGCCCATGTAGCTTTCAAGCTTTCAAAACCTTGAATTCCCTAAGACCTTGCTTAGGAAAGCATAATCTTAAGGCCAAAAAACTGAATGTCAGATAGCCTCTGGGTACTATTGTTTTCCTTCATTTCTTTAAATACTAGTGCTAAAACATGTAGTAACTAGGAATGTAAAAATAATGACAAAAGAAAATTTATTAAGTCTTCAAAAAGCTCCTTTGTGAAATTCTTTGCCTCAAATTAATATTAGCCAATGTTATCTGGCATCTTTCCCCACTTCCCTGCACCCCTCCTGCCAAAAGTAACCCCAAAACCCAGACAGTTCTGCTTTGAGGAGTACGCCACAGGGAGGGAATCTTATTCTCACTGTTACAAATCTTACAAATAACTTAATGGAGTCTTGAGTAAGAAGATTTCTGGTCCCTAAACCACAGTGGCAGAACAAAAAGACCCTTGGATCACAAAACCAAATTTCTCTTATTTATGGGGAATGGAGAAAGGAAGGGGTTACCCAAAATTGGGAATGACTCCACTCTCTGCTTTTAATAAACTATAAAATGGAAAAATATGTTTCCTTTGTAAGTTAATAATTCACTCCAGTGTTTCTATTGTTATATTCAACATTACGTGTTCAACGTTAGCTCGTAGGCCACCTGGTGGCCATTCTGGTGAAGAGCTAAAGGCAGAGATGACGGAGGTTTATAACCTCTCTTGCCTTGCTCTTGTTTTGACCCAGTGGCTGACAAAGAAAGGTTTGTAAGGGTCTGTGGTTTCTGTGTTTTATTTTAAGCTATTAGTATGCCCCAGACTTAGCAACTTGATCCAAATGTCATACATTTATCCATAGAAAATAACATAGCTAGAAATGTAGAAAGCTGCAGCTCACCCACTCCTCAGGAATGCAGAGGTTTTGTCTTGATGATACTTCCAAATCGTATGAAGCCAGAGAGGCAGCTCACAGGTCATGTCTCTCTTGTCTCTGATTTACCCTTTTCCCTTTTAGAGAAGGCCACTAAGAAATTAATCCTCAGCCATCTCTGGCATTAAATCAGGTGATGTGTAACTGGTATGAGGCCCACCACACAAATGAATACTACTTCTAAATTAAGAAAATGGAACTGAGATTAGTATTATTGCATTATAAGACAGCTAAGTGGTGGCTCAGAACAGAGTTCTAGACTTGGAATCAGGAAGACTGTATTTGAGATATCCTGTCTCTGGCACCCCCAGTTGCTGGACAGATTACTTAACATCTCTGTGCTTCAGTTTCCTCAAATGTAAAATAGAGATAATAAAAGCACCTACTTCCCAGGATTTCGAGGATCCAATGAGATAACGTATAGAATGCTTAAAGCATTATATAAATAATATTTAGTAGTACTAGTAACATTCTCCACTTTTAGGAGTACTAGTACTAACTGGTAGTAGTAGTAGTAATATGAAATCTGGGAATTTATTTTGTTTATTCAGTCTTACAGGGCACTGGTGATGTTCAGACCATTTGTGATTTAGCAGAATTTTTTGTGATGGGTAGCCCTTATAGCATGATTTCTGGGATAGTCATTAAGTCCCAAAGCTGTATAGTAATAGCCTTGTCTGCACAGCTAAAGAAACTCAAAGACCTTGCTCCCACCCCTCCACCTCCCAAAGGAAAAAAAAAAATAAACTTAATTTTCTAAGCTTACCTTGGGAGTCAGACAGCAAGTTTGTCCTTTTTCCCCCCTGAATAAATGGCACTTTCTAATGAACCAAGCTTATTTTCCTAGTGTTGTCATTCTTGTTTCTTATTGTAGTAACTATTTCTATGCTTAAGGGAAGATTCTGTAATTCACACCTGCAACTAATTTAAAATACAACATAACAGAACTCTCATACCCATTTAAAGACTTTTCCCTTATTGCTGTGAGAGTTTTAGGGTTTCAGCTCTTCTATTGATTCTAGTACCAACCCATGTGACCTTGGGCTCACAGTTTGTCTTCACTGGACTTCAGTTTCTTATCTACAGAATGAGGGGGTTGGACTGTGTCTTCAGCGCCTTCCAGCTCTGAGCCTATGGTAATTCTCTGTGATCAGACAGTGGGTCATATTTTCATCATAGCCATAATTTAAATTGAAATAAAATGATTGTAGCTAACAGGGTTTATCTAAGCCATTAGATTGTTAGTTGCTGATTTTCAGTGTCGTTTATTCATAATGGCCTTATTTTATTTTATTATTTTAGTCAGATCGTTGTTGTTGTTCGATCTTTCCACTTGTATCAGACTCTTCATAACCCCATTTGGGTTTTCTTGGCAAAGATACTGGAGTGGTTTGCCATTTCCTTCTCCAATGGAGTAAGGCAAACAGTTTAAGTGACTTGTGCCAGGGTCACATAGCTAGTGAGTGTCTGAGGCAGGATTTGAAACGTGGATCTTCTTGACTCAGGCACAGCTGCTCTATCCACTAAACCACCTAGCTAGGCACTATGTTAGGAGCTGGGAATTTGAAAGCAAAAATGAAACTTCTCCTGCCCAAGGATGTAATGTTTTAGTGGGAAATGCAATATTTGTACAGATAAATATAATATAAAGTAGTTGTCTTCTCCCACCTACCCCCACCTCCCCTTATAAAAGGACAATCAGGCAAAATGCACCAAGAATAAGGAGGAAGGGAGTACAAGCATCTAAGGAAAGTTAGAAAAGGTTTAGGTAGAAGCTGGAACCTAAGTTGAGTCTTGATGGATTCATAGACTAGACATTTCAAGAACAAGTAGAAATGGGTGATTTAAGTACCCATTCATCTCTCCTCCAGCCCAGTAATGGATTGTTTTAAACTAAGTGAAAGAATACAAGAATTTTTTTTAAAACCTCACAAGATATCATATTCCAGCTCCCTCAAAAATAATTTATATAGTTAAATGATCCAGGTTTCAGTGCTTAGGTTTTTGATCCGGAAATATTTAGTCATGAGTTAACTATATTGGTAGGCTGTGAATTCAGTAATAATCTTAACTTGCTGACAGCTTATATAACTTAATCACATCATGTATATGCTCTATATAAAGATAAGAGGGATCCAGATGGGGCTACTGAAACAAATTGAATTTACGCTTCTTTTGCTGGCTATTAATCCAGCAGCTAAATTGTTTGTACAAAAAAGAAAAGAAATGGCAATCCAGCTAACACAAAAAAGGCCAACAAAAACAAAACCACTGAAGCTCATCTTAACTAAATAATTAAGAAGGGTTTTTTGGTTTTGTTTTTTTCTTTTTTGGCTGAGATGCTTACTCAGACTTGAGTTTCTAATCTCATTGTGATACAGAAATGACTTGGGGGAATTTTTTTGTGTTTTTTTGCTAAACTCTTTAAGTTGTAAACAACTGGCAGTTTTTTTTTGTTTTTGTTTTTGTTTTTTAACACTAGGACAGTTGCCATGAGCAAAAGGAAGCCACAACTCTTGCTTTGTGACAAACCTTTTTTTTTTTTCCCTAAAAAGAGGCAAAGCCAACTAAATATATGGAACACTTCATCTGGAGATCCTTATCATATTATTGCTTATATCATACTTACTTGTCTGTAAAGCAAGGGCATTGGAGCAGACTATAAGTTTGGAGATAATGGATTTATCTGCTACTAAAATGATAGTAATCATACTACTTTAATTCTTACAGCCTTTAGTTTCTCACCATTTATTTTTCTTGATCCTCATGATAATCCTGAGATCTAAAGGGCATGTGGGTTGAAAGGCAGAGATGTTAAGTGATTTTCTTGTGGTCATTCAGAGCCAGACTGACCCTAAACAGTGATTTTTGCTCATCTTGGTTCTTAAACAGTGAGTTGAACCAAGTGTTCAGCACGTCGTCACTGCCCTTTCCGTACCATCTTCCTCACTGGTACTATCTACTCTCACTCTTCACTATCGAGTACCCGCAGGTTAGCACCTAGTTGGTAGGTGGACCATTCTTAGGAATAGAGAGTTAGAGCTAGAAGGGACCTTGGGAATCTTCTAATCCAACTCCTTCATTTAACAGGAAACTGAGGCTCTAAAAGGTAAAATGATGCTTGCCAAAGTAAGTAGCAGAACTAGACTTGAACACAGGTCCTCTGATTCTACAGCTTTCGTTCCTTCCACTACCCACCCTACCTTAAAACTTTCTTTGCCCTGTGTCCTATTCTCTCAGGTTGTAAATAACTGATCAAGTTATAAACTCATTTGCACCAAAGGATTATTACTTGATAACAATAGCTGAATATGAGAATATTTAAGTTGTAGCTTTCAGTGCCTTAGCCTCAAAGGTAAGGTGGGAATTTTAGATTTTGGAGGAAAGGGAATTGCGTGGGATCTTTCCTTATCCTCCATCTAACCCCTCCACTCTTCTTACAGATAAAGCTATTTCTAGTTAAGTTGTAGTTCTTCATTAATGTCAGTCCATGATGGCTTCAGGAAGTAAAAACTCCTGAAATTCTCTGGGGCTTAGGTAACTAAGTAAAAGACCAAACTGTGTTGATAAGGCAGGTTCATACAGTTGCATTGCTGTTGGGAGGAAAAACACTCATTTTGTAATCTTGTGCAACCCACACAAATGCATTGTTTAAAAATACTGTCCTTGTCCTTAGATACAATTTGAAGATTAGCAAAAATCAACCAAAAAAAAAATAAAGAAAGTGTTCTTAGGCAAGTCACCTGCTGTTTGCTACAATTTATTTTCTTCATTCTTCTTTGCCTAAGCTATCTTCAGGTGAAGAGATACTCCACAGGTGTTCTAGCCTAAATTAGGCTAAAGTGTTAGCCTAAATAGCTAAATTATGGTAGCTAAATAACTCTGATCAGGCTCCCACTTTGCCTGACTTTCTCCTCCTCTAGTTTCTTGCAAGCAACAGTAAGTTTCTTACTTGTCCGTTGTTTATTGTATTCACTTAAGATCAGACTCTTGATTCATGTTATAATGTTAAATTACTTTTCGTCTTTCTTTTTCCAGCCCACCTAAACCAACTGTGTACATCTCTGGTGTTATTGCAAGGGTAAGCACTTATTTGTATCTCTCTCTAAACATTCCAAAGAGACTAAAGGCCTTTTAACTTAATTTCATTAATTACTTCACCACTTGTGATTACCTGATTATTTACATTTTTAATAAACTCTTTCAGGGGGAATTCAGCAACAAGATTAATGAAGCCCAGCCCTGGGTGGAATTCATAGACCCACCACACCCACATAACCCACTTTCAGAGGATATGATAAAAGAATAGATAAAGGTTGAATACAGTTCATTCTTTGGTATACTTGCTATATTTGATGCAACATGACTTTAATTCCCCTCATTCCTATACAGTTCTCTTTAGACTGACCTCAGGGGTTCCAACTACCTTTAATTAAACACTTATTAAGCACATACTAGGTTCAAGCCCTTGGGAATAAAAGCATAAAAAATGACAACTTGCCATTACGAAATTTACAATCTACAATGCTATATAGAAACACATAAATATAATACAAAGGAAAGTATAGTACAAGGGGAAAAGTGGGGCAATCAAAGTATTCTAGGAAAATTTGAGAAGAGAAGGAATAGTTTTAGCTAGAGAGAATCAGTGAAAGGAAGAGACTAAGCTTTTAAGGAAAAACCGCAGAATCTGAAATGGATTTCAGAAGCCATAGATGAGATGAGTATATTCCAGGCCTGAGAGTCTCCTGTGTAAGGTGGGAAAGTAAGGAAAGGATCAGGGAACAGCTAGTAATCTAGTTAGGTATGAGGGAGCAAGATAGGAGGGAAAAAAGTTGGAGAGGATGAGATGGAGACTAGAGATACTGCTTGATTAAAATCAACTTGATGTAGTATCTTATTAGTTGTAGGTGATGAGAAATAGAGGGAGTTGGTAAAGATGGCTTAATGCTGGTGTTATCAGTAGCAATGGGGACATTAAAAGGAAGGGCAGATCTGGGCAGTAAAGCAAAGTCTAGTGTAGGACATGTTTGAGGTGCCAGTGAGACATCGATAGAGAGAGAGTATGCTGTTCAAGACGTAAGGCTGGAGCTCAGGACAGATTGGACGTAGAATTGTAGATGTGGAAGTAGAATTGTAGATGTGGAAGTCATCTCCCCGGAGGGGGTCATTGAAACCACAGGAGATGGGAAGAGAAGAGGGTATAGGACTTGGGTCTTTTAAGATATGACATCCACAATGATCTCCCTGCTAAGTTAGAGTAGAAAAGCAATTTTCCTTCTCTAGCAGGGAGAGACCCACCTGCATTCTATACATACAGAGTTGTTACTTGCAGAAATGCAAACAATGTAGCTTCTGTGGCTGCCTGGAGTATTTGCCCTGTCCTTCATGTGTGCTGGACCGAAGATCCTTGGTTCTCAATGTCATTTGTTCCTAACTGGCAGAACCTGTTAGCTTCTAAGATCAGTGAGCAGGTTAGGACCTCTCTCTGGAGTATTTCTCTCTATTCAATGTTTTGATGATTCTAGAACACAAGTGGTTTCCTTCCCTTCGAGTCCCAAATTGAAATGACTTCATTCACCACATTGTTAATGTTATACCTTTGTGTTTGACCACAGGGTGACAAAGATTTCCCCCCTGCTGCAGCTCAGGTGGCTCACCAGAAACCACACCCCTCTGTGGAAAAGCATCCCTCTCACCGAACAACACAGCACATCCAGCAGCCCCGCAAGTGAAGGTCCTGCTGCCACTCCATCACTGTGGTTCTTGGAGAAGAGCACGTACTTTCCTCTTAGGTTTGACATTTATAGAGCAACAAGAATTGGTCCAGCTTTTTTTTTTCTCTCTCTAGCTCTGTAGAAAAATTTAAGACAAAGCAAATCAGTAGCTTCCTTTGCCTTACATTTCTTTGTTTACTGCCTGCAAATAGATCAGATACCCATGTATCTTGTTCACCTAAATGCAAACAACACTTGAGTCTCATTCCCTCCCCCCCCATCTAGAATCTTTATTCAATTTAGCCTCATCTGCAGTTTTGCTTAGGAAGTACAGTGATGTTTTTTAAAAATTGAGTTTGAGTAGTTCTAAAGTTGCCTTTGACTTCTACCATGAAGTGAAGTGTGATATTTAAAAACAATTGTAAACCAATTTAGGGAAAAGTGACGTAAAGGTTAGGGAAAAAATGGGTCATTTTGTAATCTTATTTTTATCAGACACTAGAGTCTTCCCATATAGTCCAGAGCAAAATGGGGAAGTCAGTTAAAGTTTCATACTGTTTTTTCAATGCATAACCTGAACAGTTATATCCTTTAAGAGTCTTGTTGCTGGAGAATGAGAATCCAAGAAGTCTTACTCAAAATGAAGCATTTTGCTTTGAGTCACAGGACTGGGGAGTTTGTTGTATCCCAGAAAGTCCTGGCTTGAGAAATAGGTAAACTTATGCATCTCTGTAATCATCTTGGTAGCTTGGATATGAGGGGGACTCTTAGGACTCTACCCACATTGTGGTGGGGGGTGGGAGGAGAGATATATGGATAATGTTTAGAAAAGTTTAATAAGATGATTTAAAGCAGGGGGAATAATAGGTAAAAACCCACCAAGTTCAAAGAGATCCAGTTTTCTTCCAAAGGGAGATTAATCCCATTGTCAAGAAAAGATAAATACATTCCTCTTTATTTGGAGCAATTGTTTGCGGACCTCACAACTGTGGTCAGACTTTCCTTTGCCCTAATTACATAATTAATTACTCCTACTAATGTTTAAGTGTTTGATGTCATTCTGAGTTATTTTGTATGTGATTCTTGCCAGTTGATATTTATAAGACTGCTGCTGGAATGATTACTATACTATTTCCCTATTGGAAAATAAACTCATTCCAGTTATTTGCGTGTGAAAAAAAGGTCTCTCAAACAATACAATTTTATGGAGAAAGCATTGCCTTGTTAGGATACTAGCAGTCTGTTTTGAAGCTATTTGTTGCTGCAGGTCAGCAATGGTACTATGAATGGCCGCCTGCCTACAACACCAATCATCCTCAGATAAAATAATGAACTCCACATCCATCAGTTGGTAGAAATACTTGTAACTCTCCCTTGATCAATGTCTCTTAACCCTCCTCTCAAAAAAGAATGTTCACAGTTCACTTCGTTTCATGTTTTGAAGAAAACTTAGGGTTTTCTTAGCTCCAGATTAACAGCAGGCCAGTTTCCTATGGCAGTGACATTCTGTCATCTGTGTTGTTTCATAATGGCAGAAGTATTAATGTGAACATTTTCTGCCTCCGTAAGGCACTGTATTTTGTCATTACTTCACAGTCAGAACACATACCCAGAGGCTTGCTGGTTGATATTCCTATGGAAAATGTACCTAAAGACTTGGCATCTCCTCAGAGCTCTGTTCAGAAATAAACATTATTAAGGGGAGAGCTTTATAACACTTGGGAAAACAATTGGAAGTAGATTCAATCTAGTACAATCTATGTATCACACCCTCTGCTATAAGAGGAAGCTTCTCCCACCCCTCCTTCAAATCTCCACTGAGAGCTGGAAATGGTAGCCTATTATGTTTCCAAAAATTTCATTTTACATGTATCTTAGATGTAGTGTGTATCCTCATGTTCCATATCACTGAAAAGAAACAATTATATCAAGTGTTTCCTTTTATAGTTAATCATTTGTGTTTTTCAATAATAAAAATTGTGCCTGCCCTTCTCTTTGTGCTGTTTTTCTTCCTGTTTCAGAGATTTCTATGTTAAATTACACTCCACTCATTGTCTGCTTGAAATTATGGTACCATAAAATGGAAAAGCATAATATATTTGATTAAAACTGGTAACTTGTGACCATTAGCTGGCACTTTCATTAAGGTAGGTAGGCCTTTTTAGGGCAGATTTAATACAGTATTACAGAAAATATTGTGATGGTAGCCGGCACCTTGTCATCAGAGAGACAGTATATGCATTTGCCTTTTTATCAAAAGGTACCCTTTAACTATTAACTCCGTTTTTTCACTCAGCAAACATTTATCGAGCACTGCAGAGCATAGAAAGATATGGAAAGTACAAACTGTGATTTCAAGGAGCTTAGAAGTTAGTAAGGTAGATGACGTGTGCACACAATTTTAATATAAAACATTATCATAAAATAGATACTCCACCTTATTGATATCCTTCCAATAATGTGGAGTCTGGAGCTGAACTCAATACAGCTAAGTCGTGATTAGTACAAATATTGAATCACGCTAAGTAGTCAAATTATTTAAATTCTTAGTATTCAGACTTATAATCGTATTGAAATATGGAAATTGCTTACAGCTCCATGAAAATATACAATGAAAAAATTTTTTAAAAAGTTTATTAGGTAATGTAACAGCAGAAGATATGAAATCTATTTCTAGTTTAAGCTATTACAAAGTAATAGCAAAATTTAGAAATTATTGTACCTAAAAATAAACCTACACTAATGAGAAAAATGTCATTATTGTTGCTAAAAATATTTTAAATGTCATTATTGTCATTTAAGATATTTTAGCAGTATAGTCTGAACTGTCTTTAAATCTTCAAACATAAGCTGCTAAATTCAGAGAGCTTTATTTACATTTTGGTAAATTGCCTGCTCACATTCTCACAATGAACCAAGTATAGTTGGATGACCTGGAGCATTATCTAAAATCAGTAATGCTTTAAACTTAGTATTGTTGTCTTTGCAATATTTTTCAGTAGCTGGACTAGAATAACCTGAAAACTAGTCTTTGAAAACAGCTTTAATCACTGATGCTTTCTTATTTGACTACCAAAGAATTAGAAGCAATTGATGGACGTAGCCTCTCAGAACATGAGGATTTTGAGACCAGTAAACAAGTATTGGTTTTAATTTTAAATCCTCTTCTGCATAACCTTCCAATAAAGGTGTTATGTGATCCTTGGATGCTTTAAATACAGGGTGAGGTGTTTTGTTTTCTATAGAAATGTAAGTCCTAGAAGTTGTCCTTTTCTAGAATAAGCCTGTTTTATCCACTATTGAAAATTCTATGATCAGTATATTTACTTTCTTTTGATTATTTTCTTCAAAGCGCCAGGATATTTAGCTGCTGCTTCCTCATCTGCATTTAACATTATACAACTGAACTTGGTTTTTAAAGGTATCAAACCACCCAGCATTTTGACTAAGTTTCTTCATTAGTCACTTCCTTTCCATTTTCTTTCACTATCTTAAACAAATGTGAAGCTTTTGTCTGAATGGCTGCTCTGCTCAGAAAATCAAATTTTTAAAATTTTTATTAGAAGCAGCTAGATGGTACAGTGGATAAAACACTGGGCCTGGAAATCAGGAAGACCCAAATTTAAATTCTACCTCAGGCATTTACTGTGTGATCCTGGGCAAGTCACTTAACCTCTGTCCCTGTTTCCTTAAATGTAAGTTGAGAATGATAATCAGGGTTGTTATGAAGATAAAAATGAGGCAATTCTTGGTGGTGTTTTTTGGTTTTGTTTTTGTTTTCCAATTTATTATTTATTTTTTACATTCTTTTCTTTTGAAATTTTGAGTTCCAAATTCTCTCCCTCCCACTCTGTCCTCCATCGACTGACAAGACAGGCAATATGATATCCATTTTATATGCACAATCATGCAAAACATACTTCCACATTAGCCATATTTCAAAAAAGGCAAGAAAAATTAAGTGAGAAAATTATATTTCAATTTGTACTCATAGTTCATCAGGAGATAGCATTTTTTCATTATGAATCCTTTGGAATTGTCTTGAGCCATTGTATTGATCAGGGTAGCCAAGTCTTTCATAGTTGATCATTATTACAATGTTGCTATTACTGTTCACAATGATCTGATTCTTTTCACTTCATTTTACATTAGTTCATATAGATCTTGCTATGTTTTTCTGAAGCCACCTCCCCTTGCCATTTCTTATACTACAAGAGTACTCCGTGATAATCATATGCCACAACTTGTTCAACCATTTCCCCAGTTGGTGATCATACTCTCGATTTCCAATTTTTTGGCACCACAAAAAGAGCTGCTGTAAATATTTGTGGAGATATAAGTCCTTTCCTTTTTTAAAAAATCTCTTTGGGATACAGTCCTAGTAATGGGATTACTAGGTTAAAAGGGGTATGCACAGTTTTAAAGCCCTTTGAGCATAGTACCAAATTGTTTTCCAGAATGGTTGGGCCAGTTCACAACTCCACAGATAGTTCGTTAGTATATCTAATTTTCCCTCATTGCCTCTAGCATTTGTCATTTCTGATAGGTGTGAAGTGGTACCTCAGAGTTGTTTTAACTTGCATTTCTCTAAGAGAGTGACTTAGACCATTTTTCATTTGACTTTAGATAGCTTTGATTTCTTTCTCTGAAAACTGTTCACATTCTTTGACCATTTATCAGTTGGGGCATGGCTCTTTTTATGAATTTGACTCAGTTCTATACTCAGCATATATTTGAGAAATGAGATCTTTATCAGAGAAACTTGCTTTAAAAATTTTTTATATTACTTCATTGCCTATGGTACTTCTTAGCAAAATATAGTTTCCCTGATTATCCCTTTTAATTAGATCTACATTTGCTTTTCCTTTATCTGAGATCATGATTGTTACTCCTGCCTTTTTAACATAAGCTGAAACGTATTAGATTCTGCTTCAGCCTTTTATTTAACTCTGTGTATGTGTTTCTGTTTCAAGCGTGTCTCTTCTAACAGCATATCATTGGGTTCTGGATTTAATCCATTCTGCTAGCAGCTTCCATTTTATGGGTGAGCTCATCAAAATCACATTCACAGTTATGATTATTGTGTATTTTTCTCCATCCCGTTATCTTCTGTTTCTTCCTTTCTCTCTTTTTATCCTGTTGCTTATCAAAAGTTCATTTTACTTCTAACCACTGTCTCTCTTAGTCTGCCCTCCCCCCTTTTTCTTATCCCCTTCCCCTCATATTTCCCTGTTGAGTAAAGTACATTTCTATGCACAACTGAGGGTGTTTATATATAGTCTTTTCTCTTTGAACCAATTCCAATGAAAGTGGGGTTCAAGCATTGCCACCCCTCCATTTTCCTCTCCATTGTAAAGTGCTGCCTTGTTAGGGTAATTTTCTCATGGGAGTTCTAGCTTCTCTCAGCAGAAGCTGAGGGTCACAACCTGTTGCGTGGCAAAAACAAGGAAGTCTCACAAGACCTCTCCTTTGCTGACACGCAGCTCCCACGGTTGGCTCGGCTGTCCTCTCATTGGGAGAAAAGTCCTACTCATACCCCTGACATGAGGGCTACAGGTGTCCAGCAGATTTGGTGATTGGCTATCACGTGGAGATCATGCTTTGATCAGGTGTTACTAGGGATATAAAAGAAAGCTACTAGCACTTAATAAACGGAGCTTCTGCCATCTTGCCGTCTCCGGGTTACTGAGCATTGAGCTGGTCTCATGCTCTCCACTGCAGCGGCCGCGACAACTGGCGCCCAACGTGGGGCAGATCAATGACAGGCCTGAAAGATACCCCACGGGCGGAGTCTAAACTCCACAAATAGCGGGTCAGCAAGCTTCGAGCTTTCAGCCCGACGGAATCGGGTCTCCCAGACGTTTCCCGTCCTTGGGGGTGGAGAAGGTAAAGGTTTCACTTTACACAATGGGGCAAAATATAGGGCTTCTCCTTCCCACGGATGAGGAGAATTACGCCAGACCTTTATATAAGGTAGCAAAGAATGAGGGAATAACGATACACCTAAAAGATCTTAGAAAATTTGTGAGGTTGGCTTTTCAGGTAGCCCTCTGGCTCCCAGAGCAGGGTTGCTTTGAGCCAGGGAGATGGAAAGTATTTGGGGAACAGGTGACATCTTTTGACAATACTTGCCCGGGAGAAGTAAGAGATGAATTCAACCTCCAGGTGAAAAACAACAGGACTGTGCAAATGGTGGGGTGTGACTTCGCAGGACTGTCCGTGCAACAGCCTCTTTGTTGGTCCCGCGGTGACAGCCAGGGGCCTGTATGCGAGTTCGGAACATTGCCCTTGCTGTGAACGTTCCCGACATGGGGCCGCACCAGCTTCACCTACTCGGCGGACAGGGGACACCCTGCTCTAACACCATCTCCCTGCGCGCAGGGGGTCTGGACAAATGTAAGGTGAACAATGACTCTGGTTTTGGCTGGCCTCATGTGGAGCCTTGTGTAGCTGGACATTGCCTCTGTATGAACTTAAGTGGGACTATTGTTCAATCATGGCATGATACTCACAACATGACATAAGACTCCCTGCCCCTACCTGTATGGGTTCCTGAAATGGGAAAACCTTGGAGTGATCTTTGGAAGGCTTTTGCAGCCATGGGTAACATAACAAATCACCCAACAACTTGGGTCACAATTTGGAACTTGGAAAGGTGTGCTTGGACCACACTCGTGGTGCCATGGGACCAACATTGGGTATATTTTTGGCGCTCAGGCATGTCTAGGGGAGTGCTATGCTTTTATGTGGGAAAATAAGGTGAATATCACCAGAGAGGGTGGTGGCGATTATTATAATGTTACTTGCCACAACTGTACAGTGTCTGAATTCCTAGGACCTTTGATAGTCAATCAAACGGTGTTTGTCATCACGCATCTTCATGTAGTCATGCTTCCCGTAGAAAGCAAGGATTGGTACCACACTAAATCTGACCATGTATTTGATGCCATAATTAAGAAAAAAGAGAGTAACAATCCCCTCACTTTACATCAAG